GGGGGGGGGCTTATGCTACAAAAAGTAAGTCCGTTACGGATTCTATATAGTTAAGGCCGGGGCGACGCTATCCTATAACTCTTCTGGCTATACCGTAGCGCCGGTATTACGGTGCCGCTACGATAGTCTCCCGGGAGGGAGGTAGTAGTTATAGTCTCTGTCCCGATAGTTTTATCGATTTTACTCTTATTACGCGCCCGTGGTTAATAGGCGTGTCGAAAAGCCGTGATTCGCGTTAAAGAATAAAGAATAAAGAAAGGAAAGAACTAAACCGAGTAAACGGGTTAATATCCTTTATTCTTTGTAAAAGTCTTTGTAAAAGGATCGATATCGTATAGTATTATAATAAAGATCGATATCGTAGTAATATCGTAATCCTTTATATCCTTTATCTGACTCGTATTAGATGAACTGACTCGAAAGAGAGCGTTCTAAGCTTGCGGGGAAGATATCCTTTATTCGAGTATAAAGAATATACTCGAAGGATATTAAGGATATTATTAGTAATAATAATAATATCAACAGGCTATATCGGCCTTTTATAAAAGCGACGGACCGGATAAGATTATAGACCGTAATAACTTTATAGCGTATCTTACTTATACTTACCTTAACCCCACGGAATAATTATAGGCTACTTAAGCCTTACGCACAATTCGTTAACGATCCGATAAGTTATTTACCGCCTAACTACCCTATTTTAAAAGATAGATCGCCCTTATAGGCGGTACTAAATAGGAAGCCACCGTATAGATCTTATTCCTTAAAGGAGCGATTACTTTATAACTTAGGGATAAACTTATCTCCGTCTATATCCCTATTAACTATTATACTATATAAGTTAACGGCATATAAGAGATCGCCGGGAAATTTAAAGGTTATTAGTTCGAGTAAAACTATAATAAATTAGCTCAAGACTATATAACCGCGACAAAGGATACCGGTATCGATACGAAGATAGGCAGAATAAACCGTGTTAGTAACGGAAAGGCGAAATAAAAGACTTAGATATACTATAACTATAATAAGAAGGGGTATATCGCGCGGAATTATAAAAAGCTAAAGGAAAACTAAGATGTAGTCCGGAAGGTTAAAAAGACTCGCGTAAAGGATCGCGATACGAGCGGGGATAAGTCGACTAATAAGGATAACTCGGAACAAAGAATAGCTTTAACGCGAAAACGGGCGTTAAAGCCAATTACCGCGATATAGCGGGAGTAAAAGGCGTTTCAAGTATATACTAATAGTAACCCGGTATTTATAGTAGCTAAAGTAAATAAATAGCGTATCCTTACCCTTATTAATACTAGTTACGATTACTATACCGCTATAAGTAAATAGTTTACGTAAAAACTCTAATTACTATTAATAGATAAAACGAATCGACTACTAAATAGCTTCTTAGAAGCTACTAAGCCTATTAATAGCGCGGGTATTACTATCTATAAGCTTAAGATCGGCGGCTACCTGTAAAGGATATTGGTATATATAGTGCCCGGGCTTAATTAAGATATATTCCTTAAGAAGCCCTAGATAAAATAAAACAATATAATATACTACGCTAAAGATAAATAGCTTTACTGCGGAGTAGCCGGATTAAATATACGACGTTACTATAAAAAGGAACCTAACGGAGTATAAGCTATCCGCGATACCTATTTAGTTACTAGATCCGTGTTCGCGGGTATTATTCGATAATTATAATGGAAGGGTAACAAGGTCTTAATCTAGGGAGTAAGCTTAAGGGATATAGAAAAAGCGGTTTATAAGAAATAACCGGCGGACCTAAAGGACTTTATACCTAAAAAGCTATTACGAGAATTCGGCGATTTATTCACGCCTAATATGGCTAATTAATTACCGCTATACCAGTTAGGAGTCAACTATAAGGTAAACCTTATACCCGGAAATAACGGTAAGGAACTATCGCTTTCTTAGGGGTCGCTCTATAATATATCGAGAGAAAAACTCCTAGTATTACGGAAAACACTTACCGGCTTAATAGATAAGGGATTTATCCGTGCTAGTAGTTCGGAAGCCGTGGCTCCTATTCTCTTTATAAGGAAGCTAGGCAGAGGACTTTATATTTATTATAACTATTAAGCGTTAAATACGAATATTAAGCGAGACTATTACCTACTTCCCCTAATTACTAAGATATTCTAGAACCTAAGCTAAGCGAAATAGTTTACGAAGCTTAATATAGTTATTACCTTTTATAAGATTAGGATAGCCCTAGGATACGAATATAAGACTATATTCCGAACTCGGTTTAGGCTTTTCGAATAGCCTATTTACCCGTTCGGCTTAAATAAGGCCCCCGCGAAATTCTAGTAATATATTAATAAGATACCATAACGCCTCCTAGATAATTTTATTACCGCTTATATTACTAATATCCTAGTTTACTCTAGTAAGAGTTAGGCTAACTTCGAGGCGAAAATAAAGTAAGTACTCTACGTGCTCGTGGATACTAGCCTAAACCTAGATCCGTTAAAGTACGAGTTTAACGTAAAAATAGTAAAGTACCTAGGATTTATAATTACCGCGGGGACAAGCGTATTTTACGATTTAGAGAAGTTATAAGCTATTCGCGACAAAAGAAAAACGGCTTTATCGCGATACCGAAAAAACGTAATAAAAAACATCGTTATAGTATAGAAAATAGTAAATAGCAGTAAAATAATAGAAGGCAGGTGTTTAACGGTTATTTTCGGTTATTTAATTATAGCGGGCAGGTTACATAATAAGCCCCCACCCCCCCACCCTGGGGGGGGGGGGGGGGGCAGCCCCCCGCAGGGACAAGCTTATAAGCTTATAACTTATACCTCTTAAGCCTAAGCGCCCGAAAAATCCTTCGGATATAAGAACAAAGGACGGAAGATAAGATATTAGCCGGAGTATACGCCGTAGCGAGAGCCTTAGCGATACCGAATCGATATTATAGGACCTACACTGCCCGTATATAGATAGTATAACTTACCGCCTTAATAACCTAGGCCGGAACCTCGCCCCCGAGGAAGGCCCTTATAAGGGAATAGGGTTAAGCCTAGGCGGAGGTATAGCGGCCTTATACCTATACCGTAATAGCACTATATCACCCCCCGATATAATATACCCTCCGGAAATATATAGGGCTCTTTAAGCTATAAAGCTCCGCACTTACCTAGATTAGATTAGAAAGATTAGGTCTATAAGCCATCCTAGCTAAGGCGAGGGTGCCGGGATTCCTAATAATATAATACCCCTATAGTAACGGGGGGGTAGAGATAGCGGAGTACGTAATACTCTAATACTAGGATGTACCCGAGGATAAGCGTAAGGAGCTTTTCGGTACTATAGGGAGACTACTTATGACTAAAAGAGATCTATATAATATACTAGACTATAAGATAGAAGCCAGGGCGGTAGCTAAATAGTTCCTATAAAGAAAAGACTTAATACTTTCCATCTTGCCCTTAAAGTTATTAAAGTGTATAAGAACGGGCGGTACTATAATAGGGAAAAGGAGATATAGTACCCCCCCCCCCTAAGGGAGGCAGGAACGCCTACCCTACTTTTCTTTATTAATTAAATAAATGGAATAATAGGCATAGTCCCCGGGGATATAAGGAGGCCGGAGATAGTATACCACGGCCGCTATATAGCGGAGACGCCGTGGCACCCTTTTAGCCCCCGCCCCCTTACTAATAACCGGCCTAGGCTAACCCGAACTATAGTCTACTACTCTTCCTGTTAGCTATTAGCCTAAAGGTATAAACCAGATATACAGAAAGGACGAACCGGGTCTATATCGGCCCCGTAGCGGTATTACTCTAATTAAGGACGAGTATAAAGGTTTTCCCCGGAATCCCAGGTTTTCCCATTTATAGCTACCCGAGAAGGACCGTATAGTCTAAACTAGGCTCCTATAGATAAGATAGGATAGCGGAGTAAGAATAATAATAATAGTACTAATTACTATATATACCTAAAAACGGACTAAAATATATATATATAAAAGTAGATTGGAATATATGTAGTATAGCTATAAACTATATAACAAAGTCGCCCGAAAAATACTGTAAAATTCTGAAAAAGGGGCCTGGGCGGTAATACTGCTATAAATGCTAGGCTGCTAAGAAGTGCCGAATAATAAAGTGGGCTAGCTTTGGTATAGTATTAGATAAGTGCTATTTGACGTGCGATATTTGACGTGCGACACGTCGTGGGCCCGTGCCCATGCGACATACCGACAAGGCGAATTCCTAACCCCTTTATCGACGCTCGATCTATGTCCTGTGGTTGCGAGGCCAGGCAGAATGAAAAGTTGAGAGTCAAACCAAGTCGCTGATTTGCCTTCAATCATGGCTTCGGAGCTTCTCTTGGAAATACTCGACCCCGACCACGACGCCGGGAGTGAGCTCTCTCCAGTGTATTCTGCCTTCGAGGGTTCGGCAAGGCTCAACTATCTAGCCCGCCTCGCAGACCAGTCTGCAGGATCTCTTAGAACATCGGAGCCCCAGGCCTTAGCCAATTCCTTGCAATCAGTACTACTTTCACTGCAGGATACAGCGAAACGATCTCACAGACTCATCATCGACTCCACGGTCCGACACTCCACACTATCACTTGCACTTGCCACATTTGGTCGTGCCGCAACCGACCTACAAACCGCCATTCCAACGCTCGATGCAGAAGCTCTATACTTCTCTGCCACATACAGCAAAGCCGGCGAAAGCCATCATCTCCTCGAGCGACAAAGATCTCTGTTGGTGCTTCGCAATGTCGAGCGCCTTGTCAATGTTTTGGAGTTGCCAACACTCCTGGCATCAGCCACGACTTCGGTGCCGCCAAACTACTCCTCCGCCCTCGACTTGAACGGTCATGTGAGACGACTTCATGCGTTGTACCCAAATTCTCCTGTAATTGGACTGGTCTCACGGCAGGCGGATGAAGCCATTTTGCAACTGACTTCCGATCTGATTGCAACCTTGAAATATCCCGGGCTTAAGCTAGCTACCGCCGTGCGTACAGTCAGCTGGCTCAGGAGAGTGCTCTCCGATCTCAACCAGGTTTCCAAAGCAAGCTGTGGAGCAGAAGAACGAGCCCTGTCGTTGTTATTCTTACGCTGTCGCGTTGCGACCCTTGATGCCACTCTTGGGGCACTCGAGCCACTTCGAAAACTCGCCGAACAGGAGATGACAAGCAAAAGGACCGTTCGTAACACCCAGGTTTGGTCCGGAGGCCAGCAAACCGAGCGGTATTTGAAGCGCTACATCGAAATATTCCGCGAACAAAGCTTCCTCATCATTTCCACGTTCAAGAGCTTGTTCCTAGCGGTGGGACATTCCGACAGAGCCCAAAGCGATGATGCGCTCGAGCCCCTTCATTTACCTCGTTCATTTTTATCTTCCTTCACTCTCCGCTTGGTGAATATGCTTCTCGAGACACTGCGCATCTTTCTTCCAGTCATCAAGGACCCCGCCGCGCGGGATAGCATTCTCACTCAGGTCCTTTACTGTTCCAACAGCTTGGGTCGCCTTGGTGGCGAATTTGGGACTCTTATGGCTGGTCTGAATATTGAAACTTCTATGCTGGGAACACTGTATACCCGTGACTTAGAATGGGTAGGGTTAATTAAGAGGCACCGCTTAATAGCTAGGCGCCTTGATTCTATAATAGGAGAGTATAGAGGCGTAACTAAGAGTAAATGATCTTTATCTTGCTTTCTTTATAGGCTTAATTACTCAACGAAAGTATTAAGATGTATACAGAATTATAATTACACATATATATATCTAGCTATTTATCACCGGAAATCATAGTCAGGTGAATTTAAAAACGATACGCCTATTAACTATAGGCAAGTAATAGGAGTAAAATCGGTACAACTATTAAGATAGCGATTATAATTATCGCCTCCCTCCTAGAATATTATCGTAGAGGTATATAATACCGGTATTATAGTATAACCGGAAGATTCGATAGATAGTGTTATCCCGATATTAACCACGTAAAATTCTTAATAGACTTACTTTTCGTAAAACAAGCATCCCCCCCCTTAGGGTAGAACGCTATGCGGAATTAATTAATACGGGACTAAACAGGTACCGCCACGCCCCTTAGACCCGAGGATAGCTAACGTTAAGGTAGTAATTTATGATTTACTAGCTAATAGGAATATAATTAAATAGGTTATTAAGCTAGTAAAGGAACTAATCACGCTACGCTATAGCTATAACGTTACTATTACGCTACTAGTAGTATATCTATATGCTATTATCTGCTATATTATCTAAGAGTAACTCTGAAAAGGAATTAACGGTATTAAGGAGACCTAGGCTATTATTATAGCCTAGACTCCTATGATAGCACCGTCACGGGACCCCGCGCCCCTTAAAATAATCCCCGCTAAATACTACTAGGAACTAATTATCCGCTATAAAGGCCTCCCTAAGGACTAGTCTCTTAAAGCCAGGACCCTAAAAGAAATTATTAGAGCTATAAATGCCACCCCTACCCGCTATAACGCTGTAATAATATAAAAACTACCTAGCAGCGATATCTGCCTTACTTTTAGCGAAAGGGCTTAGTACTAGGCTACTTATAAGGAGTAGTGGATTAAGAAGGTCTTTAGTATAGGAATTACGCTAGCTATACGGACCTACCCTATACTTACTAAGGCTATCCCTAAGGAGGTCCTTAGCGTCCTATCTGAAGAAGACCTGTTAGTATTATTATAAGGAATAAACCCTAAGACTAAGAACCTCCAAGCATAATAGCGATTACCCCGCCACGGTACTAGTAAGGTCACGCTTCTCCTTATTAAATCGGCCTCCCCGGAAAAGGTAGTAAGCCTTATACGGAATACCCTCCTCTTTAAGGGGGTAGCTATATCTACGAGTTATATAACCCCGACCTTAGCCCTCTAAGGTACTCTAAGTGCCTATACTTCGGCTATAAAGCTAGCGGGTACCCTATAATAAACAGGGTATACCGTTACTACGCTAAGCCTAAGTCGATATACCTATAAGGCCTAGGATATTACACGGCTACGGCGCTAGGGCGCCCCCGCTATTATACCGCCTATACCGGAGACTATAATATATTCGATAATTTATACCGATTACTAAAAAAGGAGGCTAAGGAGGCCCGGGAGGCGTATAAATACCGAGCGAAAGACTTTAATATTACCTATTAGACTAAAATAGCGTAAACCGCGGCACCTATAAAACCTCTTCTATATTAGTTTCTCCTAGGCACTAAGCTAAGACCCACACCTTCGAAGGGGTAAAGGATACCCCCTAAAAAGGACTAGGGGCTAAAAGGGCTCCCCGATACCGGGCCCAATAAGCTCCTATATAGTCCCCCGCGGGACTAGTAAGATACCGTATTAGAAGCCCTAGAGCTAGAACCAGGCCCCTGTTATACCGGGTATATCGACTTAGCCCCCCTATCCTTTAATTAATAAGTATCTATATTCTTTTATAGAATATAGGGAGGAGTTAGGCGTGGAGAAAGCTACCGCTCTGGTACCGCGCCGAGTACAATATAATAGGGATTTATATACCCGGCCTTAACCCCTTCACGAAAAGTCTAGCCTACTCCTTCTAAGGGATATACCGATTAGTCATGGAGGGGGCTAAGCCCTCCTATACGTATAATAAAGGCACCTACTATATAAGTAGATATAGCGGGCCTACTATAACGGCTACGCGGTTATATTCGGGGACTAGGGATAATACCCTTATAATCCAGTTAATCTACTCTAAGAACTACTAAATACGTAGGATACTCTAGAATACACCCATATAGAATATACTTAACACGACACTATTACGGCACTAACACATTCCCGCTAAGGACTTTAACCTCTATTACCCCCTTTAGTTATAGCCACCGCGGTACTACCCTAGAGCCGATACTCTACTTAATCTTATAACCTGCTAGGATCTTAACCTTATTAGCCTACCTAGAATTATTATATAGTACTGCCCGGGCTAATAAGTAAGCATTATTAACCTTATATAGGTAATATAGGGGCTCCGCTACATTTATAGTAGCGTGAAGAAAACCGTTATTAGACCGGACTATTACTTATAGATAGCCTATATCTATATAGTAGTAAATACTATAAAAACTCTACCGCGGGACCCGGACCGGCCTAGATAGGTTTAGAAGGACTTTAACTCCTTATAGGTCCCTTAACTCGCCGCCGCGTAGCTATACTAGGCTAGCCCCATTATAATAGTAGAAGATATTAACGTAGTACTTAATATCCTAATCAAGGACCTTACGGACCTACCCGATAAGATAGTACCGTAACGCTATATTAGTACCCCCGGACTCCTACCTACCTTCTAGTAGAATACGGGGCTAACCGCCTTTACCTAAGACGTAAGGCGCCTTTACCGTAGATATATAGCTAGGAAGTCCCGTAACCGATAGGATAAGTTCCAGTAAGCGGAGAGGTGCTAGAATAAGGCTGTAGTAGTAGCAAAGCACTAGTAGTAGCGGTATTTACACGACTTAACTGGGGAGAATAATAACCTCCCCTAGTAACTTTAGAAATAGGAATAAACTAAGAGCGGCGTACCGCCGGACCCCTTATTAGTACCGCTATTACGCCGAGATAATAATAATAATAATAACCTAATTATATTTAAGTTTATTCTAATAGTTTATATAATTTTCTATTTGGATTTCGACACGCCTATTAACCACGGGCGCGTAATAAGAGTAAAATCGATAAAACCACCGAGATAGAGATTATAGCTACCGCCTCCCTCCCGAGATACTATTATAGCGGTACCGTAATACCGGCGCTACGGTATAGCCGGAAGAGTTATAGGATAGCATTGTCCTGACCTTAACTATACAGAATTCGTAACGGACCCACTTTTCGTAATATAAGCGCTCCCCCCCCTCCTAAGGCAGGATATAGCGCGGAACTAATATAAGACCGAAAAGAGACTACTGCGCCCCCCGGAACTAAGAGTAGCTAAAATTAAGACAGAAATTCAGGCCTTATTAGCTAACAGGAACACGATTAAATAGGTTATAGAACTAATAAAGAAACTAATCACGATACGTAGTACCCGTAGTAATACCGGTATATTACCGCTAATATACCAATATATATCCGTCCGCCACGTTATCCGTAAGGAACTCCGAAAAGGAATAAGTAGTATAAAAAAGACCTAGGCTAATATTCTAGCCCGAGTACCCGCGGCGGCGCTGCCGCGGGACCCCCCCCCCCTAAAGTAATCCTTACTAGGTATTACCGGGAACTAATAGTCCGCTAAGGAACCCTCCCCGACAACTAGCCCATTAGAGCTAGGACCCTAAAGGAAATTATTTAAGCTATAACCGCTATAACTACCCGATATAACGCCGTAACGGTATAAAAGCTATTTAGCGGAGATATTTACCTTACCTTTACTAAAGAGGTATAGTAGTAGGCTACCTAAGAGGAATAGTAGGTTAAAAAGGCCTTAAGTAAAGGAGCTACCCTAGCCGTATAAACCTACCCTACGCTAACTAAGGCTATCCACCGGGAGGTCCTTAACGCCCTATTTAAGGAGGACCTACTAGTATCCCTATAAGATACGAACCCCGAGGCTAAAATCCTTAGAGTATAATAGCGAGTACCCCGCCGCGGCACCGGCAGGGTAACACTTCTCCTTATCGAATCGGCCTCGCCGGAAAAGGTAGTAAGCCTTATCCGGAATACCCTCCTCTTTAAAGGGGGCAGCTATATCTACAAACTATATAATCCTAACCTTAGCCCCCTAAAGTACTATAAATACCTATACTTTAGCTATAGGGCTAACGGCTGCCCTATAGTAAAAAGGATATACTATTACTACGCTAAGCCTAAATCGGCGTACTTATAAGGCCTAGGATACTATAATACTAAAGCGCCCGGCCGCTCCCGCCGCTATACCGTTTATACTGAAGACTATAATACCTTTAATAACTTACACTGATTACTAAAGAAAAAGACCAAAACGACTCGCGAAGCGTATAAATACTAAGCTAGGGACTTCGATATTACCTATTAGACCGAAGAGGTATACCCACGGCAGCTATAGATCTTCCCCCCGATTATTATCGCCTAGGACTGAGACCGGCCCCTCTATAATGGCCGTGGACGCCCCTTAAAAAGGACTGAAGGATAGGAGGGCTACCCGATACCGGGCCTAATAAGCGCTTATATAGTCCCCCGCGGGGCTAGTAAGGTACCGTAGTAGGAGCTATAAAGCCAAAATTAGACCCCGGTTATACCGGGCACGTTTTCTTAACCCTCCTCCCCCCTACTAATTAATAAGAATCCACGTCCTTTTATAGAATATAGGGAGGAGTTAGGCGCGGCGGGAGCTCATACTCCGGTACCGCGCTAAGTATAATATAATAATAATCCAGGAACCCGGCCTTAACCCCTTCACGAAGAGCCTTACCTGCCCCTCCTAAGGGGTATACCGGCTAATCTAGAGAGGAGACCGCGCCCTCCTATATATATATAAAAGATACCCGTTATACACGTAGCCGTGGTAGGCCTACTACGATACCTATACGGTTATATTTAGGACTAAAAATACCGCTCTTATAATCTAGTCTATTTACTTAAAGAACTACTAGTCCGCTAGAACCCCCCAGAATATACCCCTATAAGATATATTCGATATAGTACCGCCACGGGGCCGTTACGTCCTTATAGGGGATTTTGATCTATACTATCCCTTATAGTTATAGCCACTACGTTATTACCCCTACGCCGATACCCTACTTACCCTTATAACATAGTAGCACCTCG